GTATCAGCGTCTTCCTGAACTGTAAACTCTGTAATTAAATCTGCTCGGACATGCTCCTACAGACTATTTCAAATCAGCAGGACTTGCAGTAGCAGACAGAATAGAAAATGGTCCCCAATGCCTCACTCTTCTCTGCCGGGCTCTGTGCATAGGCTCTGCCATTTTTGCAGCCATGCATCATATCTGTCTGCAGATCGCATGTGCGTGATGATCTCCATGGCGACTTGGGCACTTGAGGCAGAAATATGAGCTGGTAAGTCAAGGTTACTCTCCCTCCTCCTCCTCCTCCTTTCCTCTCCCTGCACCGTCCCTTTAGCCTGTGCACCTCCGTGTGTGTGTGTGTGTGTGTGTGCGGGTGCGTGTGCCCCGTGAAACACCCAAGATATTCTTTTCTTTATGACTGCTTCAGTCTTTGGCAATCAAACTAGAGTCAATGTTTTATTCCATCATCCAGAGTTGACCAGATGCCTTGGTTATGGGCTCTTACAGGCAATAGCTTGCTTGATGGACATGAATGCGTTGTTGGACAGATTTCACAATTACATCTTACCGCATCTGAGAGGGGAAGACCGAGTTTGCCACTGCAACTGTGGGAGGTAAGTTACCTGCCTGAGATCCCTCTCACCTGTGTGTGTGTGTGTGTGTCCCCTCCAGCCCCTTCCCACCTCATCCCATTGGTGAGGCACAGCGAGGTGGTGGCCAGCAGCAGGGTGCTGCTGGTTGGGCTACCATCTTTGCATTCTGGCTGTGTCTCGCCTTCCTTGGCAGCTCCTCCATCAACACAGGGGTTATTTTTTGGGTTTGTTTTTTTTTTGTGTGTGTGTGGGGTGTTTTTTTCCTGGAAAAAGAGTTTTCTGTGGGCCTGGAAGTCCATTTTCCTTTGTGTGCATGCTTGTGTAAATGCATCTGGGAGCCCTGGGAAAGTGAGTAACTTTGATTTAAACGCTTGTCATTTTGCCTTTGTTGTCACTGGGCTGTGTTGTTCCTCGGTGTTTGTGGTCTGGGTGTTGTGGTTGGGGGTTGTGTGGCTTAAAAAGAGCAGGGGTTTGGCGAACAGAGAGGATCTGTGGCCAGGAAGGAGCGTTGCTGTCTAGGACGGTGTCACTTTGAGGCTTTGCAATCTTTAATCAGCTTTAAATTCTCCGTTGGCTTTTCTCCTGAGGTTGTAACGATGCTCGGGGCAGAGCTGGTCTGTGCTTTTGGGGAGCGTGGAGCAAGCTGAGGGCAGCGGGGTGGGTTCTGTGCCAGGAGCAAATGCCTTTGCTGTGTAGAAGTTTATGACTGGACAGATACTTACCTCTCTCCATGGCTGATTTTGGCGATGCTCGATTCTAAACAACGCAGCACTTGTGTCAAGTGTAATCGTGGTGGTGCTGAGCTTGTGGCTGGGCTTTAGAGCCTGGGGACTGAGTGATTCTAAACAACACAGCACTTCTTGTGTCAAGTGTAATCGTGGTGGTGCTGAGCTTGTGGCTGGGCTTTAGAGCCTGGGGACTGAGTTTTGGGGGGGTGAATCTCTCCCCTCTATGGGATTGCTGTCTGTGATCCTTACCCTGCTCTCCTGGAGGCCTCAGTCCCCTCCTGTGCCTGGTTCCTCACTGCCTGCTGGAGAGTTTCTTGTCTGGGGGGGAGATAAAGCAGCATGAAGGCTGTGCCAGGTAAAAGAGCCCTCCCCTGCCACAGCCAACATCTAGACTGAGCTTCTCTCCTCTTTGAGCTGCCCCTGGGACCAACTGCATCCTGTCTCCCAGGCGTCACATCCCTCTGGTGTCCCTGGGGTGGAAACTAAGCTGAAACGAGGATGTTCATCACTTAATGAAGGGAAACTGCTTTGCCCTTCTACTCTGCTTCGTTCACCGAAGGTGAGCGTTACCTTTCTCCCCACGGTTCCTCCTCAGCCTCCTGTGGCAGAACAGCAAAGAAAGTACAGGCAGCATCTCTGGGGTCAAATGCAGCCAGGCCCTGAGTGATCTGGTAAGCAGACCCTAAATACCTGGCTCCTTGGGCACCACAGGCACCTCTGTGTTAAGGTCAGTTGGGAAGACTGGGGACAAGAAATGTCCACAGTGTCTTTGACTTCTTTTTTTTTTTTTTTTTTTTTGGCAGGGTTTGGCTTTTTCTTAGGTAATTTTTTGGAGTCTTCTTCATTAGTTTCACTTCTCTCACTAGTTTAAGAGTTTTTCTCTGCCTCTTCAACCAGTTTTTCTTTTTACTTGTCACAGTTGCATTCAGGGGTGGTGGAAATTGGCTGCTGGTAATAGACTTTAACATCAGCTGGAGTGACTGAGGAGTGCCAGGTCCCACTGGTGGTGTTGGCAGAGTGTCCCTCCTGCTACCCAAGTTGGAGAAGGTGGCGGGGCCATTCCTCTCTCCTCTAACTCTATGTCTGCAGAGATGCTGTTGAAGGCAGATAAATTAGCCATGGCACTCTCCCCAGACATAGTTAGGTCATTTCTTAGAAAGTGCACAAAACAGCTTCCAAACTGTCAAGCATGGAGCTGCGAGGAGGTGAAAAGCTGAAGTTTACCAGTTGCCTTAGGTATGTAGGAGCCATGGCTCTTGCCAGCAGAAATAGCATACCGGGAGCACAAATCACTCCTGGGCAGGGGCTCTCGTTGTGCATGAGTGTTGGTTTCAACCTGTTCATGCTCTGATGCAGGAGACACTTCCACAAGGCATCCCAATGCTATCAGGCTTGGTGTGGCCTCATGGCATGGGTCGGTCTGTGATCCTCACCTGTTCTCCCTGAGCTCTGACCTGCTGCCCGAATGCCAGTGGTCCAAGTTCTTGGATTTAAAAGGCAGATGATGCTGGATGTGCCTTTTTACCACTTGCCCAAGTGCTCCGAGTGCAGGCCTTCAACGCATGGGGCATGAACCATGAGGGGTTCTGCCCCACGTGAGGCAAGGATGGAGCCCGGAGCGTGTTGTGAACGGTGGTACCAGGGACTGATAAAGGACAACTCTTCATTTGTCAGTAACCAAAGGGAGTCCTTGGAGGAGGGAACTGCCTGCAGGTCAGTGTGTTGCTGGGAGGAATGGGGAAAATGAGTCAATGTTGGAGAAGGGAAAGAGGAATGGGAATGACTGAAGGTTGATGTGCAATAGCCTGAGATGCTGCGATTATTGTTTTTCCCTCCTGCCCTGGCCTGGGTTGTAGTGTCAGTCACACCAGCATATTCATTCAGAAACGTTTTCCTGCCAGTTTCCTGTCCTGGTTGTACCTTCCTCGGGGTATCAGAGTGGATCTCTCCTCCAGGAATGGTCTACTGTGTCCAGACACCCCGGGCTGGCCGTGGACATCCAGCGTACAGCAGGATGGATGTGCTCGCTGGAAGGAGTCAGTCTGCACTGAGCCTGTGTCAGTGTGAGGGGCTGGGGACTGTCACCTTGCCTGGTGGTGGCCTGTGGAACACCACCTGTGTGAGGTTCGGGTGCCAGCTGAGGCCAAGGGATTTGGGGCTCTGTGTTCTGCTTCTCCCAGACCTCTCAGTGCCACCTCATCCCTGTGAAGCTCCAGGGAAAAAGCCCAGACGTCACCCCTTGGCTGTCCCTGTGTGATGCTGGAGTGCCCTTTCCAGCCAGAAGACTGGGAAGGCTGCTGTGTTTCCAGCTCCATCTCCTCACTTGGTTCTGTCCATGCTTTCTGCCCCCCAGGGAGGGGTGTCTGGGATGTGGAGAGTCCCCCTCCAGTGCTGCTCTGTGGTGGGAGGCTGGCAGGCAGGAGCCATACTCAGGGGTCCCCCAGGCTCTGCCCATCTTTTGGTGGCTCTGGGCTCGTTGGAGCCACCTGAGTGCATGGCCAGCAGGGGTGACTGTCCTGCTGTCTCCCCAAAGAGCTCTTTGGGTTGTACAGAGGCTGGGGCTGGGGTCTCTCATGGGCACGGATGTGTCTGTCCCTGGGCTCTGCCTGTTCTCTCCACGGGGGACTGAGGCTGGAAGAAGGTCCCAGGACAAGCGAAAGGGAGAGCCAGCTTCGGGCACCCTGCCCTCTTCTTCCTGAAATGTCCTCTGCCAACCCTTGCTTGTAGAGAGGGCCTCATTTCCCACAGCTGGGGACTATACTTTGAGTTTTTATCCATGTTCCTAAGCGCTGGATGTGGTGGCAGTGACTGGGGAGAGCTGCTGGGGTGAGGACATTTGGGGAAGAAAGCCAGCCCCATCTTCAGTGCTGGACACTGAGCACTTGGTGCTGGTCGGGCTGATCTCCACCCTCGCTCTGCACATCCCTGGGAGGGGGGACAGGGTCGCTGGGGCTGTTTCAGGCTGAAGCTGTTGCTTGTCACTGTTTGCCAGAAGCAAGGTAGCAGCTTGCTGAAGCAAGAGTGACCTCGCTGTGCTGGGCCCCGGCGGGGGATCTTCAGATGTGTGAAGTCAGAAGGGAGTTGTGGACTCTCACTGGATGCAGGAGAATCAAGAAGGTGCTGGTGAATGCTGAGCTGTGCCAGGTTTTCAGGGGCTGCAGGGACTGGACCCCATGGGTGGCTGGATGCGAGGTGTTGGGAGGCAACACTGTCTGGAGCAGCCCATGGACTCTGCCCTTCTCTCCATCCCAGGGCAAAGATACAGGTGGTGGAGGCTGATGCCTATTTGCAACGTCCACAGAGCTGCTCTTTTTGGTTTGGATGAGACTGGGATGGACAGTGCCTTTGCCACAGGAGTGGTCCTGCTCCTGGACCTGAGCTGGATGGGCCTCTGGGTCTCTGGGTGGGAGCAGATGTTCTCCTCTATGCAGGTGGGCCATCACTCTTAGGTTGGGATGGTGCTTTCCCTACTGGTAGCACTGGAGCCAAGGAGGGTGAAGCTGCCAGAACTCCTGAGGCCACTCGAGGTGCATCTACAGCTGCTCAGTAGAAAAATGGTCCTTCCAGTCCCCAGAAGGGACACTGATGTAGTGATGGTGCACGTAGGGAGGACATCAGCAGAGAGACAGGGACCCTGGCACCCGGTGCTGGTACGGAGCCTGCACAGGCATCCCTGGTGTGACGGGGACTGTTCCTTTCCTCACATCTGCCTTCTTGCCGGAGGAAGAAGGGGTGACAGCCACATTTACACTCCTGCTGGCTCCTGTTGATGCCATGCAGGAATGTGCCTGCTGGAGCAGATCCCTGGGGGAGCCTGGCACTTTCTGTCCTCAGCATGTGGAGATGTTCAGGCTGTCCAAATCACTGTGCTGGGGCATGTGGGAGGTCCTGCCTCCCTGGGCTGTAGCTATTCCCAGGAGAGGGCAGGGCTAGGGAGGGCTGCAGAAGTGTAGCACTGCCCCAGTCCGAATGTCTCTGTCCCAGCCAGTAAAGGGTCCTCTCTGGAAGCAGAGAGCTGGCAGCAGATCAGGAGCTGGGTGATGTCATGCAAAGGAAAAACACCAAAGGGCGTCCGTCCGTGGAGGCAGGGTGAGTTGGAGAGAACAGATGACACCTGCATGGAGCAAGGACCCGTCAAAACAACCTGGGAGGGCTTGGAAGTTCCCTCTCTGGGAAAGGACAGGGACCTCGGGAGCTCTGGCATGTATTCTCCTTGCCACTGACCTTCTGAGTGACCTTGGGTGAGTCATTCCTTCCTGGGCAAAGCCTCTCCCCGTAAGTGGGGTTGGAAAG